GAATATATTATATTATATTATATATGAATATATATATAAGAAGGTTTTCTATCATTTGACAGATATGCAGAATAACTTTACAGGGAGGTTAAGTGGTTAAGAAGCATTTTTTTCCTGAAAAAGTAGTAGTACACAATTTTATCATCTTTTAAGATGAAAATGTGCAAATTTTCCATGAAAAGTCAGCAGAACGAGTGGTCATTTTAGATTTGTACTGCTTAGCAGTACACTTAAATATTTGGTGCTGGCCTTCCCCCCTCTCTTTACTTTATCCTACAGCATTCTATTTTTGATATAATACAGTAATTTCATTCAGATTCAGACCTTTACAAACCTTACATTAAAAGTACAAACAACCCCCTGCTACAGGGAAAATAGAATGCAACTTGACCCCTCCTCCTTCGAAACTATTCCGTTATCAGTGTATTTATATAGGCTTAATCCACGAAAAGTAAATTTATTAGTGCAACAGTTTTGTGTTTTTAATGGAAATGCAAATTTGTGCACCATTTGCTTATTTTTTCACAGTTTCGCAAAAACATTAGATTTTTTTGCACAAAGTTTCGCATGAATGCAAAATTTAAGTCACAATTGTTGCATGATTTTAAGCATGAAAATAAAAGTAGGTTTTATTGTAGTTTTGCTAAAACATGTATATGAAATAAAATTATAATTTTTTAATATTGCAGGGGGGGGGGGGCGAGAAGGCTGGGGTATCTGTGGGCTTTTATTGCATGGTTTTATTTCATTCATTTGCTTCATGGAGTTGTTTCTCGAAATTTACAAACAAACAAAAATAGCTTGAATTAACAAAATGCATAATATAATATTAATATCAATTTGCACGCATTAGCTTTTGTGCATCAAGCAATGCAGAATTATTTGAAAAGTTGTGTAGTTCTTTCTCAAGATGTAACATTACCTTTACTTCATTATTGCACCATTTTTGTTCAAAATTTTGATTGGAACGATTAGACATTTAGATTTTTAAGTGTAAAAATCAATACCTGGTTCCGATTTTGAGCATTAGGAAATGCTCCAACTGGTATATACTCCCAGTCCTTGGTGTCTATACCAGTAGCAGCCAGGACTTCATTGTAGAATAGTTTTCCCTTCACCAGCTGGTCAGCCCATCCTGCTCCTCCTTTTTTTCCAGCTTTAACTTCAATTGTAAGCCATTTTCTTAGCTCACCAAAGACTAAGACTATATCGAATTCTTGATCCTGATGAGGTTGACCTGTAAACCTTTGGAACATGCTGACGTTATAGTTAACAAAGAGAGCTGTTCTTGATGTTTTAGGAATACTTGTCAAGTACTGATACATTTCATGTTCAGCATTGTCACCAGTTACATTCCCCATGAAGCTGCCAACTTTGTCCTTCTCTCCCAATTCCACAGTTTCATACATCTGTTTAGCTAACTGATCAGGAGGTAAATCAGGGGTTTGGATAGAACAACCACTATACAACCATTCTTCTGGAAATCTGACACTGACTTCGCTAAGATCTGGAAGATATTGCTTAGCAAACCAGTCTGCAGCTTCAGCAGGTGTCCACTCTCCTTTCTCTCCCCCTCCTAGCAGGTATGTATTTGTGCCTTCTTCTTCTCCCATGTTCTCCATCTTGATTTTTCCTAAAATATAAAAGTAATAAAATCTTTCTCTTCTGGGATACTTTTAATGCTGGATATACACTGTATATAATGGGACCCCTGATCTCCCCCTCATTCTAATTCCCTTACATATTTGTTTGATATTTTAAGTGTATTTAAAAAAATCGTTATTCTATAGATGTTAAGTTAACATTAATCATTTAGAGGAATAAGTGTTGTTTTTGCTTCGCCACTTTATCCTTTTTTCATTTTCCTTTCTTACTGCAGTGCAGATCTTGTGCTTTGTTTAATATCAGAATCTTCCTTTTTTCTTAGAAACCCTATGCTCGCCAAGAAAGAAAGAAAGAAAGAAAGAAAGAAAGAAAGAAAGAAAGAAAGAAAGAAGGAAAGAAAAAAAGAAAGAAAGAAAGAAAGAAAGAAAGAAAGAAAGAAAGAAAGAAAGTACTTATGAAACAGAGGCTTTGGAATCACGCTGAAAAAAAAGCTACAAATAAGATAAAATACATCATAAAATCATACGCACATTGTGTAAGAATTGTTTGCCACAACTTGCATATTTACTAACACACTAGATGCATAATTCAGCACAAAAAAGTGATTTTTTTTGCAAATTCGCAAAATAACATTTTAAAAATTCTGCTGGAAACCTATTTGCAAAATGACAAATTATCAATATTTTAGTAAAGAGGTAATAGGACATGCCAAAATTAATTTTCTATCGTGAAAATTCAATATGTTGACTCACTTTACAGTTCACACTTCCAGAATATTGTGAATCCGATTTTTTCTTGTTTGGTTAAAGAGCTCTCTTAACCCTATTCCTGCTAGGGG